AGAAGAACACTATGTTTGAATGGGGGGTGGATGTAGAGGCGGCGTTCTAAAAGTTGAAGGAACACTTGCACTCTCTACCAAGGTTGGTCAGTCCTTTGCCAAATAAGTGTTGTACATGTACCTAGCCGTCTCTGACCATGCGCTTAGTGTTGTTCTCCTTGTTGAAAGAGGCGGCACCCAGCTCTCGGTCTACTTCATCAGTCATGTTCTACAGAATGCAGAGTTGAGGTACCCCATGGTTGAAAATTTTGGAGTTTCCCTCTTCATGGCAGTTAAGAAGTTGAAACCTTACTTCTTGGCGCATCCGGTCGTGGTCTACACTGACCATCCAATCAAGCGGCCACCAACAACCATGGAATCATCCGGCCGAATGATCAAATGGGCGATTGAGATTCAAAGCCTTGAAATAAATTTTGAGCAAAGGAAACCAATAAAGGGGCAAGCGTTTGCTGACTTCATTGTTGAAATGACTAGGCCGACTGATCTAGAAAAATTTGAACAAGTCTGGAATGTATATGTGGACGGGAGATACACAATGAACGGTTGTAGTGCAGACGTCATATGTCAGTCTCCTGAAGGAGACAAGTACAAATATGCACTACGGTTTAAGTTTCAGGCCTCGAACAACGAGGCAGAGTATGAAGCCCTACTCGTCGACATCCGCATGTGTAAGGTGGCTGGGGGAAAGAACGTTGACGCCTGTTCTGATTCACAATTGATTGTTAGCCAATACCATGGTGACTATGAAGCCACATATCCGGCTATGATAAAGTATTTACAAGAGGTCAAAGAAGAGGCTGGGACGCTTGAGGAATTTCATCTAAGTCAAGTGCCCAGGTTTGAGAATAACCAGGCGGATGCTCTCTCCATATTGGCATCATCTGCCTCTTGTGACACACCTAGATCAGTTTTTTGGGAAGTGATGGAAAAAAGGAACATCGAAGAGGAACCCATTGGGATCCTAGATCGAAGCTCAACTTGGATGGATGGCATCCGGGCTTACTTAACAAACGGCACCTTGTCGGATACCTACCCAGAGATGGTCGCAATGAAAAAACGTGCGGCCAATTTTGAAATCTACAATGGAGAGCTTTTTAAGAAAGGCTATCTCCAACCTTTTTTGAAATGTGTTACACCAAAGAAAGGACGAGAGTTCCTACAAGACTTGCACTCGGGCTTCTACGCCTCCCACATAGGTGGCAAGACCTTAGCAAAGATAGCCAGGCGGCAAGGCTACTTCTGGCCAACCCTAGAAGCAGACGCCATGGAGATGGTGAAAAAATGTGACAAGTGTCAAAGGTTAAACAAGCTCATCCATCGTTCGGCCACTAACCTGACGGCTATCCATAGCCCAGTACCATTCGCCAAATGGGGCATGGACATTTTGGGTCCATATACGCCTGCTACAGGTGGACTGAGATACATTCTTGTGGCTGTCGACTACTTCACCAAGTGGGTAGAGGTGGAGGCAGTCAAAGGCATTAAAACAAAAGATGTTATCTCCTTCATCTGGAGAAATGTCATTACTTAGTATGGGGTACCCATGTCTATGGTCATTGACAATGGTCCTCAATTTGAGACGCCTGCTCTTGAGAACTGGTTGGGAGACCAAGGGATCTCTCACTGTTTTGCATCAGTCGGCCGTCCTCAAGAAATCGGCCTGGTTGAAACCTTCAACAAGTTAATATATGATAGCATCAAAAAGAAAATTGAAAGATCCGGTGGCCTCTGGGCTGACGAGCTACCACATGTTCTGTGGGCCATCAGGACGACTGAAAAAGGAGCGACTGGTGAAACCCCATTTCTCATGGTTTATGGGGAAAAAGTTGTCTTGCCTATTGAGCACTATGAGCCGACTCTTCGAGTCATGCTTTATGACAAAGAGGCTAATTAGGAGGCCATGCGACTAGCATTGGACTCACTTCTAGAATGCTATGAAGAAGTTAGAGGCGGCACCTACCCCCTAGAAACACCAGACGACAGACAGCTAGCCAGAACTTGGAACGTAGACAACTTGAAAAAGTACTACTTCTGAGATTTTGTAGATTATTTATACATGAAAGCATATTAATAAAATTTGCAATTTATTTCAGTATTTTGTAAGTCTCCTCCCAGTGGGGCAAGCCTCTTGTGCAATACACAGTCGGCCTTATTTCTTTTAATCACCTACTTTAACATAAGTAAAAATGCTAAGTTTAGACAACTTAGCTACTGTGTTCTTTTCTGAACAACCTAATGAGGCCTATGACCGGATGATCAACTTGAGCCTATGGCCGAATGATAAAATTGAGGCCCATGGCCGGATGATCCTAATAAAATTAAACTAATACGTTTGTCCTAAACTTGAGCAGGCGTCCAGCGACATCCATCCGGGTGAATTCGTCGTAGAGAGCATCTCCCATTTGGGTGGCACATTGCTCTATAAACCTAAAACAAACGGCCCTACCGAATGTCTCTAAGACAACCTCGTAGTCGTTTGACATGAGACAAAGATAAACGTGCCGCTTACTTTAAACAAGCGGTAGACAATTAAAATCTAAGTCAGAAACCACCTACTATTTCTTGGGACAATACAGTTGGCATAAGCTGAGTTCTAAACTTGGCAGCTATTTGGGTAATAAGCTAGGTCTAACTTAGAAAATGGAAAAATAACATGCGGCCACAACCGACCTTTTCCTCCATTTACTCAAGTTCAAGTGATTGAGACTGATTAAATCTAGAGGTTAACTCATAGTTGCTCGACCAAGCTAACCTAAAATGGAACCTAAACGGTACCGAAAGGAGCTACCGCCTGTCCTTTTGATAAATAGACGACATTCGGCCACTATTTCTATTAAGGTTAGCCAAACAATTTAAGCTACCGCTTGTAGCCCAACAAGCAGTTGCTATTTTGGTTAAACGTCCCGTTTGGCGCTTGTTTCTGTACAGGTACCAAACAAACGGAAAAATCACTATCAATAAAGTAAACTAAGTACAAAACTTAATGGATAAGTGTGGTTCATCTAAAGAACTATAATGAGGCCTAGAGCCGGATCATGCTGAGTGTATGACCATCTGTCTAATGGCCGTCTACCCACCTGATTTGGGGCAATAACCATAGTGATTGACTGACTTAGAAATCAGCCATTTTCTAAAAGTATCAAAGTTTTCCAAGTTAATCCATCAGCTTTTGAAAACCAGGCGCACAGCCGCCCAAGGGTTAAAACATTCGGTATATCTAAAAAAGTCGGCATATGGAAAGTATTCAAAGCAGTCATACGAAAAGACAAGCTAGACTTAGCAAAATTTATGAAATGCAAAAATTCAAAACAAAGTGCAAATGGGAAAATCCGACAAAACTACCGGATGATTCATATAAACAGTCGGCCATAACACCGACAAAAAAGTTAAAATTGTTAAATAAACCCAGATCCCTTGGTCGGGTAATGATACAAAACAAACGGGACGCTGGCCGAAGAAAAGTTAATTTCATAAGGGAAAGCTTAAGCAGCCGGAGGGGGTACATCAACATTAGTAGCCTCATCCTTCTGGTCCCCAGTCAGCCGCTATTCTGTTTTGTTAACCTACCCCTCCTTCTCTTCCTAGTCCGACTCCCCTAAAGTAGAATCAGACGACTCCTCCTCCTCTCCCTCGTTCTCTTGGGCTTGGTTCAGGATTTTTTCATTATATTCCTTGGCGGAGGTGGCAAACTGATTCTCCCAGTTCCCATAGTTGGTCTCTAGGAAGAGAGCCCCCCATGTCATCTTCATGATGGCTCTGTTGTCATCCATCATTTCCTTCAGCAGAGCCTCCTTTTCTTCATCATCCCTTGAGAGGTACTTCTTGGCAAGCTGGGTCTCTTGGTTCTACGGGCGGTGTTTGAGCTTGTCCACCCTAGTGCGAAGGACGAATGCTTCTTGGTCCGCCTCCCTCAGAGGCCTGAGCTCAGCCTTGAGGTCTTTAACAGACAAGTCCAGCTCAGAGATCCTCTTTTTAGCCACCTCTAAGTCCTCTTTGATTTGCAAGTTGGCAGCCGCTTGATAATACAGTATGTTAGTAGTCTGAAGTTCATTTTGAGCAATCTAGAACATAGCTTTATCAGAATCAGAGGCGGCCCGGGCCTTCGCAGCCTTTACCTCTTTGTTCTTTTCGTTTAGGGGATTGCGGAGACCATACACTCGCAACATAGACTGCACTCGGCCAAAAACCAGATGTTAGTTACAGGCGACCAGGAAATTATTTATACAACAAAAAAGAATCTTTTACTAAGTATACCTCAGCCAGGAGAGCCAAGATAGCTTCCAAGTTAAGGGTGTCGACTCCCTTAACAGTCTTCCTGTCCTCTACTAGGATGGCCCTCTGCATGGACCTAGCCATCTAAACCAGATCCGGCCTTGAGAGACATTTGCACAATCAATACCTTGTAAGTACTTAGGGTAAATTTGGCCAATAGACCAACTGCCCTCAGAGGTGCTAGACGACTGCTGATTGAATTTGACCCTCAAAGGGTAAGGGAAAGGAAACAAGTCTTTGATACCTTCAGCAGCCGCCTGCTTCTCCTTCTCCTTCCCAAGCCGACTACCAACAGGGACGACTCACTAGACGAAAAAGATAAAAAGGCACCGATTCAAACCCCCCTTTGGCACCGGTTTTGAACCGTTGGGTATTTGAGGGATGCCAAATCCATGAAAATTTGGCACCGGTTCAAAACCGGTGCAAACTAAAGCCTTTGGCACCGGTTAACCGGTGCTAACTACATGCTTTTGGCACCGGATAACCGGTGCCAACTACTATGGTGCGTTTTTTTTTTATTTTTTTATTTTCAATACCATTGGCACCGGTTCAAATCAAGAACCGGTGCAAAAAACCCCACTTAAGGCACCGGTTCTTACTTTGAACCGGTGCAAAAAGTGTAAAAAAAAAATTTTAAAAACTTTTTCATCAGTTCTGGTCAAAACCGGTGCCAAAAATACCTCAATATTTTTATTTTTATTTTTTGCATTTTTTTCACTTAAATTGATATATAAACATTAACATATATATAAAGTTACATATTTTCATTTTTTCTGTTAACTTTCAAAACAAAATAGGAAAACAACAGCTCTGTCGCATCAATATGCAAGAATATTAAAACTATATGCCGGCAAAATAGGTAAACAGCCGAACACCAATATAAACAAAATAAGACTTGACTGCATAGTCAGAAATCAACGCAGCAGCTGCCAGAGCATTACAGCACCAACTGGCAAGGAAAAGCAGCAAAAACAGCAGCCTGCTCCCAGCAGCCTCACATGCAGCAAACCAGAGACCAACAAGCAGCTAGCAAGACTGCAACAACATACAGGAACACAAGTTGCCAATAACAACAACAATAGCAAGCAGAAAACACAAAGGCAAGCAGAACCAGCAGCAAGCAAAAGAAATAGCACCAACAACCAGAAAATAAAACAACACTACACCACTAGACAGAAACATGGCCAGCAACAACAGACCAGGCCAGCACCATCAAGACCAGGCACCTGCCAGCAACACAAACCTAATCCAGCCCAAAACAATAGCCTGAACCAGAAGAACCAGCTAGAAATCAAATACAAGGCTAAACCTATATATGAAGCATTGAAACAAAACCATTTCCAAACAAATGAAGATACATCCAAGAAAGATAAAAAAATAAATAAAAGCAAGCCCCATCAACCAAGGATTCACGAAAAAAAAGATAAATTAAGGGGGGTCAAATAAACAAATATCATATTTACCTTCCAACATTCTGGAAGCGCTTCTCGTATGTAGCAAAAATTAATGAGAAATGGAAGGGAAGCATAGACAATGTTTAGATTATACGACAAATTAGCAAATGTTGGTTTGATTAAGTAACAATTATACTCTTTTCTTCCCTAGTGATCCTTTAAGTTTCTAAAAGTACTTGGTTTGTCTATAATGAGCTTTCTAGGGTTTTCACTATTGCTTTCTGTAATTTTGCTCATGTCTCTGCAAGTTTCCGTTACTATTAGTTGTTTCGCATTAAAAGACAACTAAACAACTCAGACGATTGTTATGAAACATAGTTATTTTGGGAATGAGCTGATTTACATTGTGAGATGAGATTGCTGAAAGAGGCTAGGGGTGAGCGAAAAAAGTGGGTACCCAGTCCTGGACTTGGAACCGGTTAGGACCTGCCGGGTCCAGAACTGGATCTGGTCCCACTGGTTCCGATTCCGGGTCCAAAAATCAGGACCCGGTTATAACCGATTCCGGTTCCAATTCTTGAATATTTGCACCCGGTACCCAGTGGGTACCCGGTTCCAGTTATATAGTCATGTGCATTCGTGGATTTTTAGAACATAAATTTAACATTGGGCTTTAGAATCTCTAGCCCACTAGCTCACTTACTCTTATTTCCAACCTTTATAAGGAGTATTAACCCTAAAATTACTCATGTTCTTTTTTCAGCCGTCACTCAAATTCATGAGTATTCAACTTTTTACATCAAGTCCATAATCTAATGATACTTCTTCTTTTCAATTTTGTAGATCATAAACTCATATCTTCTTCTTCTCAAATTCTTACTTCTAAAATCCATTTTTCCTCACCTTCCTACCCATTTGTTTTTATTTATTTATTTATTTTTATTATTTTTTATGAAACGATTTGAGATGAACGATTTAAGAGGAAGAATTAACAAGTTACGGAGTATCATTCCATGCTTTGAAGATGAACAAGTTCTCATATAATTAGTATTTTGGGTTGATTTTGTATGAATTTCGAATAATGCATGTAAGGAAAAATTAAGATTATTTGGATTTTCATTTAATTTTTGAGGTTTTCATTTTGTTCTAAAGTTTGGATGTTTGGTATACTCTTTTCTTAATTTTTTTTTTTAAAGCTTAATGGCTAAATCTGGAGTTCATTTATAATAATGAATACCGGGTACCCGGTTCTGGAACCGGTTCCCACCAGTTCCAGTTCCGGATCTGAAATTTCGGACCCGGTGCTAACCAGTTCCGGGACCAGTTCCGGGACCAGTTCCAAAATTCTGGACCCGGATAAAAACGGTTCCGGGACCGAGTCCTTAGTTTTTGACCGGGTACCCGGTATTGCTCACCCCTAAAAGAGGCTATGATTTGGGATAATTAGGCAAGTTTACCACAAATTTAAATTAGGTTAATGAGTATATGTTCACAATGTGTACATCAAAATGTGTAACAAACATTCAGACTATACAATTAATACTAGGCAAGATATGTCACTAACAATTTACAATACTACAGCGGATCCGTTTTGTTCTTTCCATTTGAAATCTTTTTGCGAGACAAAAAAGGTCTAAATAGGAAGAACAAAAAGGATCAAATGGCGCATAAATAAAGAGTTAAAAAGACTTGTCCACACAACATTTACACATCAGTCTCCATGATCTGCAAAATTAAGTAATACCTCGATTCCCAAGAATTAGGAAGATGGTATAGTGCATATCCAGGATGTCGCACATTAGCAGGGTAACTTCCCTGAGGCCTTGAATATGGGGTTCGCAAAACTGCAAATATAGATATACATAAGAAACATAGTCAATTCAAGTTCAATGCTGAAAATAACATGTCTACCTTTTTCACTGCTAAGGGCCTGAGTTGCCTAAAGGCTGACATAATCACATAGGTCCATAATGATAATTACATGCAAGAATTCAGGAATCCCTGACTTTCCCAAATAATTCAAGAGAGAATATTTTACAAGTTAGAGGGTCATATTCCAGCAAGTGGTTTCCAAAGTTTCAAAGTTGGTTTCCACAATGGAAAGCCTATCCTTCATAAAAGTGTTCTTCCAGTAACATGGACTGGTAAGGCTGAACACAAAATCAATTATAGGAAGCTAAAAAGATGTATGTATATTTAGAACGGAGCTGATATTAGACGCTATCCCAAACACTAAAGGAACCCCCAACCACCTCAAATAAAGCCAAACCATGTATTGAAAAATATAAAAGAAAAGAAGACCCACACATGCACGAACCTCTCTACTCACATTGTTGTAAGGACGAGGCTGCATTGCCTCTAATGCGACAGAATGCTCCACCCCTGTATATCCTTTATTTGCTTGTATTAAGGAAAAATTAGGTTAGTTTCCAACTCGAGCATAAAAGAGAAAATAAGAGTAAAGACTTGTTAAGCATGATCCAGGTCTTTGAACTCACGTTGGCAGGGTTTAGCAGCGAAGCATGTCTAGGAGGCCCAATCCAAGAGCCTGTCCCAAAATCTTAATTGGAGCAAAATCCATGAAAATAAATCATGGCACTATGATGAAAATGGAGGAAAAGAAAAATGTATAGGGTATGTCAATTAAATCACAGTCGAGTGAAGTAAAATACCAGTTTGAAGTCCCAACGAGGGGCTTGAATATTGTGAGTAGGGTTGTCTAGGATCACAGGTTGACAACCTAGAATCTGAATGCACAAAACTTTCATGGGAATATGATGAATGATCACCCTTGGACTTCATGCTAGACGACAATATAAGGGCACACTTCATCTCATCAAGCTGTTGCTATGCCTCTTTCCTACTAAGCTCTGTGAAGATGACCTAGTACAGTAATATCACAATTAAAAATTAGATAAAGCAGTGTAGATTCCCTTTACGGATTTAAGCAAATGTATACAGAGTATATGTCCACAAATTTGAGCAACTTCTTGTATACATTAACGCCTTAACGACATTATATTCCCTTTACGGATTCAATTTTATATTATTGTGAAAAGCTTACTTTGATTTTCTTTATTGGTTGTGGTGACCAACATATAACTCTAATTTGTATAAATAAGGGCATGTTTTAGGCACGTAGACTTTTATCTAGCCAGCTTTCATCATTTGCAACTCAACTTTAGATAGCAGTGCAAGGTGAAGTAAGGACATGAATGACAAAGACAATTTGTTGAGTAGGCAGTACCAAAAAGTCATTGGACTCCTAATGAAGCAAAACCTGTATTTCACTAATTTCACTTTGAATTCCTACTAGTATCCTGGATGTATCTCACTTTTCAAAAACCAAAACAACAAATTGAAAGAAAAAAAAAACAAAAATCACATACGAAGTAACTAGAAAGAACAGTTACCATACCTTCACCAGTATCCTTTACCATAAGATAAATATAGAAGTTCTACAGTCAGGAAAATCCGTATGCTGTGCAGTTCTAGAATTGCCCAAAACCACCAAGCATATCAGATCTTTAATATTTCTGCCATCAATATATTTGAGATGATCAACAACTGACAGGTGGGATAAAAAAAATTGTTTTTTTAAAAATTGCATTACTTTAAATTTTTTTTTAAAAAAATCATAAAATTAACCTAATTATAATTGTTGATGAAAATATTGACTATATATTACATTGACAAGTATGAAAACAACCTAATTACCATAAAAAGATGTACTAGGCAGTTGTAATACATAGTGATTTAGGAGGAAAACTCCGTACACAAGATATCTACTACTAAGGTAAATCAGCGACAGAAAGGCTCGGGAACAACCGTCATCAATAGACAACCACGAAGCAATAGGTGTAAATCAGCTCCATACAAATAGTGAATAGCCAACAAACATTGTGTCAGACTAGTAAATCTTAAGAGTGCCAAGTAAAACGCAATATTTTCCATGTTGTACTCAGCAATGCAGGCAGGTTCATATCGATATTGTGTCATATATCTTAATGTATTCTCGACTAAGTCCTAGTCTAAAGAAAGAAGTGTCTAACCCAAATACCTAATGCTTAACTAACTGGGCAGTGGCCAATTTCTATAGTAGGTCAGTATCAAATGTGGCACACTTGTATCAAAACCCGTTCTCGGATACTCAAGAGTTTAACCATCAAACACTAACCCTACCCAAAGGTGATGCAAAGCAATACTCCATTCAGTAATTTTGCAATATTCATCAACCTCAGAAGTCAAATGCAATGTCAATCTTTTCCAGAAAACCTGCCTCAATCTTCCATTAAAATCCTCACTTTAAGTTCATCTTTCCTATTAATTAGCAACAACGATTATCAAAGGATACAAATCATACAATCAATGCAAAAACCATAGTTTAAAAATCAAGTATAGCATACATTTCAGATTAAAAAATTATCAACTAAATTCCAAAAATTATCAAGAAACTCAGAAATCCCACATTCATCAAAATCTAAAAACTTGAGCAAAGGATAACGAACAAAGATACCAACATTGCAGTAAGCAAAGCAACACACAAACTTTTAACTGGTTGCAATTTGACGCCACTTTTTTAGGAAGGAATTGACGGAATTAGGTTGAGTGCCAAGTAAGGCAGTTGTTTCAATGGTGGAGAAAGCTCAGAACTTCTACAATATAACGCAAAGCTAAATAAACTAGAAACCCTAACCTCGAATTTCTGATTTTTGGTTCATATTTGAATCGAATTTGTTGTTGTTGAAGACGCACGCACATCGAATTGATTCAAATAGACGCACCTAGAAACCCTAACCTCCAATATTGTAGAAAGAGAGAAAGAGAAGGAGATCGAAAGAGAGAAGAAAGGAAAGGGAAAGTGACGGTTATGAAGAAGGAGATTGAAGGAGAGAGACGGAGTGTTAGGAAAGCTCAGAAGCCCCTTCAATGGAGAAATTCGAGTACGCTACAATGGAGGAGAGAGAGAGGTAGATCAGATGAGAACGAAGAGGAAAGAGCAAGGAAATGAAGAAGAAGACGCGCCTTAAACCGGGATTTTTTTTTTAAATGGCACCGGTTCAAACCGGTGCTAATTACTATAGTTGGCACCGGTTTAAGGCAAACCGGTGCCAACTCTATTGCTTTCTTTGTTTTTTTTTTTTTTTTAAGGTTGGCACCGGTTTGAACCGGTTCTAATTAAATGAGTTGACACCGGTTTTGGTTGGAACCGGTGCCAACTCCCTATTTTCCAATCCCGCCCATTTCTTTTGGCACCGGTTTTCAAGAACCGGTGCTAAAGGGGGGGTGCCTATTTGATTTTTTCTACTAGTGGCTGGAGATTTTGGAGGTGGGTTGCTCCCTGGCCTTGAGACCACATGTTTCCTAGCTCTCCCATGGGTCATTATGTCACCAGCCGTCTATTTCCTAATTTTAGGATCCGGATGGGAGGAGGAGGAAGACTTTTCTAAGTTTCCCTACTAAATAACCACAATAAGTAAGAAGAAGGCGGCAGAAAAGCTAAATGAGATTTGTTGAGTTGAAAGTTTACCTTGGGCGCATGCATAGCAGGCGACTCTTCAATTGACCGCTTGCCTAAGATGGCCGAGCGGTACTGGGCAACAACTTTCTTTGAGGCCGAGAGCTTTTCCATGGCTTTGTCAACAAAAGATGAATCAAGGAGTTAGTTTGACACAAAATAAATGAAGTTTAACAAGACACTTGAATAGGCGATTAACTACCTCTCGACATCTCTTCACTAAGGCCACATGCGGCCAGATATGTCCCATAATGAACTCCCTCGCCCCAGTCTCGGGGTTTGCCTGGATGTCTACTTTGAAGAGCCTTATATCTAGGATCTCCTTTTTTGCTTTACAGGGAATAGGCGCCAGCTTAGAACCGCCTGTTAAAAAAGGTGGATTCTTGTTCCACCTGTTGAATTTTTTTGTTCCCGACTGTGTCAAGGCTGGAGACAATGTAGAAAGTGTTCCTCCAATCTTTCCAATAGTTCTACTTACCCACAATCATTGTTTCGGGGTTATTTGATGTCCTTCGGGAGAGTTACAATTCCAAGACTGACTTCTGGACGCTTGTACCTGCAAAACAACGGAGACTCCGGTGGGTGGGAGCTCCGCCTCCGACGATCAAGTTAGAACGTGTATGAGGAGTAAAGTGCAGAAAGTAAAGGGTCTCTCTCGGATTCCAAGAGAGAATCTGCAATGTGTAATTGCTCAGTTTGAGGTGTCAGATGTCTGACTTTCTCTGATGGAGAGTTTATGTGAATTGAATATTTTTGAATAGATGTTCCTCCGAGGGAAACATCTCCCTTTTTTAAGGTGTTGAAAAATGTGCCCAATACTAGGTTTCAGTAAACCTAGGGCTGATTGGGCTTTGCCTGGAATTTTGGGCCTTAAGAGGCCAGCTTTTCAGTTGGCTATCTGTCTGCCACATGTCGTAGCCTAATTGGTCCACCTTGGACCTCTCACGAGGTGACACTTGGCGGACTCTTATTGGTCCACGTTGATGACACGTGGTAGGATTTCAGTGGTCCACGTGGCGGGGAAAAATCCCCTAATCATTTGCCCCTCACAGGGGTTATATGGCATGCCACGTGGCACCTGTGATAGATTTCACGCCACGACTAGCTAATGGTTTTTACCGTTTTTTTTTTCTTTTTTGGACCCTTTAAATTCCCCCCTATATATAGGGGTTGTCTAAATCATTTGGACATTATAGAAACTTTTTAAGCGAGAACTTTGAACGCCTGATCTGACCATTTAGACGACTGTCGCTTGTTTATAAACCGCCTGTTCACAGACCGCCTGCTTCTTCAGCTGCTTAGTTTTTCAAAGGTTTCAAGACTTCCCTACTTAAAGGTAACCGCCTATTCCCTTTTGCACTTTCTCTTTGTTTTTTTCTTTTTTCAAAAATGGTAGCCCAAAACCACCCAACACGACCTAGGTTAGTGATCAGCCAGTCACCGGGGACGGCTGAATATAGAACTAGGAGTGCCGCCTGCCCTATGCTGGACCACCCTTTGCGAACTGCCCAGAGTTCGACTGTCTATGTGTCTGTGCAGGACACCATGGTCAGAACAAAGAGAACGACCAGGATAACAAATTCAGACGGATCCTCATTCTACGCGCCCATTAGCGAGATCTCAAACGTGCCGACAAGCGTCCCTAGCACCCCAAGTGATTCTATTTTAGCTGAATCATGGGAGGAGGTTAAGAATGACCCTCCTATCATTGATCTATCCGGGCAGGCGATTGCTTTTCCCGAGAGCTCGAGCGACGACTCTGAGCCGAGCACCTCTAGTAAGCACTCTGGTGACTCGGAGGAGAAGAACTCTCGGCTACATACAACGAGAGAAAGCCATGAGGTTGAAAAAGGGGAGAGATGGGCAGAGCCGGCTGCCACCCAAAGGGAAATATATACCCCCTACTTTTTCCATGTTCCTAAAGGCAGGCGCAAGGCCATGTCTGAAAAAATTGGGAGTTTTAGGGCTGACCATGTAATGGGTCATGGTTACATTCTAACAGTGCCGAATGCCGAAGATACGGTAATCTGGTCAGAGTCGTCCAGCTACAAGGACGAGTGTTTTGGTTGCTATGAGGCGGCCATTAAAGCTGGTTTAAGATTTCTTCTACATCCGGTTGTAGAGAGGATTTTCGATGGACACCCGCTGGGTTTCTGGCAACTGGCCCAAACTCATGGTTCAACATCTTGGGCTATGTTGTCGGTTGCGAGATGTACGGGGTAGAGCCAAGCTTCGAAGCTTTTGCTCACATGAACTACCTCAGTTGGACCCCAAAAACAAGCAGTACCGATTGGTACCAGCTGTCTAGCTATAAAGGCTACATGATGACCATGGGAAAGGAGAACAAGTGGAAGGATTGGAGGAACACCTTCTACATAGTCTCCCACCCTGATAAGGTCAAGAACAAGAAGTTCAACAGGTGGAATAGAGATCCACCTTACCTAACAGGCGGATCTGATCTGCCGCTTGTTCCTCAACAAGCAAAAGAAGATCCTCGACAGAGGGCTCTTCAAAGTTTACATACAGGCGAACCCCGAGACTAGGGTAAGGGAGTTCATCCCTCAAAATTACATCCCAAAGTGTAAATGGTTATATGATGGGAAATACCTAGCCGCCTACGGCCTTAGCGAGGAGACGCTGAGAGGTAGTGGACCGCTTGTTTATTGTGTCTTAATAGACTTGACTAATTTTATATCTAACCATTTGATTCATCTTTTGCAGATAAATCTATGGACAAATCTCGGCCGCCAAGAAAGTAGTCGCCTAACTCCGCGCAGCCATTCTTGGCAAGCGGTCCACTGAGGAGTCTCCTGTCAAACAGGCGCCTAGGGTGAGCTACTTTACCTTAGCACAATTTCCTCTTTTTTTTCGCCTGTTTTTGATTCAATGACTTGTTGTAAAGCGACACTGTCAGACCTTCCTCCTCTACCCACCCGGACCCCAAACGAAAAAAACAGACGACTGGGGATGCATCGACTCCTGGCAGAGGCAGGAAACAAACGGCCGAGAGGCAAGGAAGGACTCCCTAAAGTGGGGCAAGGACTCCGGCCACCCTTGGGAGCAGCCGGCCTCCAAGAGAAAATGAGGCGGCGAGAGGTATAACTTGCTCAAATCTTCGAAGTTTAATCAAGCTACCGACTCCTCTGATTTCAAGCAGTTGGTTTTCTGTTTTTATGCTGCGTATTAATCAGTCTTCTTTGCAGATGCCCCTCAAGAGCCGGACCTAGTTCAGATGGCCAAGGCCATGCAGAAGACCATCCTTGCTGAGGATAGGGAATCTGTTAAAGGAGTTGGCACCCTTAACCTTGAGGCCATCCTGCCTCTCCTTGCCGAGGTATATTTAGTCAAAAAGTTTTCTTTCTTTTTATTTAAACGTTTGCTTGGTCGCCTGTAACTGACGACTGTTTTTGGCCGGCTGCAGTCTATGCTGCGAGTGTATGGTCTCCGCAAACCCATCATCGAGAAGAACAAAGAGGTAAAAGCTGCGAAGGCCATGGCCGCCTCTAATTCTGATAAAGCATGTTCCAAATAGCTCAAAACGAGATTCTGACCACTTACATACTGTATTACTAGGCGTCCGCAACTTTGCAGGTTAAGAAGGACTTAGAGGCGGCCAGGAAGAAGATCTTGGAGCTAGAGAAGTCTGTAAAGGACCTCAAGGCGGAGATGGCGCCTCTAAAGGAGGCTGACAAGGAGGCCGGGGGACTCTGCACCCGGGTGAACAAACTCAAAGACCACCTGCAAAATCAAGAGGCTGACCTTACCCAAAAACGTAACGAGACAGCTGATGAGGAGAAGATGGCCCTTGTTCAGGACATGATGGACGACTGCAACACCATTATAAAGATGACCTAGGCGACCCTCTTCCCTGATACTGGCTATGAAAAATGGGAGGGCCAATTCGCTGCCTGTTCTGATCAATACAACAAGAAGATCATGGAGCAGGCAGGCGGCGAGGAGGAGGCGGATGATGAGGCGTCTGACTCTACTTCTGGGGAGTCGGACTAGGAAAAGGAGGACAAGCAGGACGCGGACGATGATGAGGAGCCGCCGTAGAAGGAGGTGGATGCCGATAAAGAACAGCCGCTGGTTGATGATCCAAATCAAGCGGCTTCCAACACTGCAGGTCCTCCTCCAGCTGCTTGAATTCCCATTTTTTATGTCATCTTTCTTCGGCCTGCGTGCCACTTTGTATCATTACCCGACCAAGAGGTCGGGGTCTATCGACAATTTCAAATTTTAACATTTTCATTCGGTCATCTGGCCAATTGTTTATTTTAATCATCCGGCTGTTTTTGCCGGTATTGTTCAAATTTTGAAGTTTTTGAATTTTTTCTTTCCATGAATTTTGCTAAATGTATTTAGCTTTCTTCTTGTTTTCATGAATGCATTATATACCGACTGTTCCTGCCCCTAGGTGATTGGCGCCTGGTTTTCAAAGGTGAGTTGATTGACTTAGAATTTTTGATACTTTTAAGTATTACTAATTCTAGGTCAATCAAATCACTATGGTGATTGCCCCAAACCAGGCGGTGAGTCGGCCATTGACGAGCGCTAAA